CGCGCTGCATATGCGCCACTTGTCGCAACCCGGGAAAGTGAAGTATTCTTTGCAACGAGTACTCCTTAATTAGTGATTTTGATACAGAGCTAAACAAAATTTAGGGCCCCTCAAATTTTGGGGCCTGTGCGGGCCGCACGGTCCTCACTACTATGGGCCCGGTCCTGAATATGCCTTTCCTGTGTTTGAATTGTCTTCTTATGAGCGACGATTTGCTACGTAAATAGTGGCTGCCGGCGTCTTCTGATCTACAAAATATATTACCATGCAAACTTAGTATTGTAGACATAGATGCTAACAACAATGTCACAAAATAAAACCAATAAAACACACACGCACGCAGGCACGCATACACATGGTCCACACATGTATTAACAATGAAAACAGAAGAAAAACAAAATAATATGTATGCACTCTAACGGCAATAATATCTAATAAATAATTATGTCACCAATGTCAATATTATATCACAAAATTCTGACTTGTCAATATTCTATATGAATGTTTTTCAAACAAAGTGATATGCTATTTATGGTTTTGGTACCGAATTTGTAAAACAAGGTGATATGTGAAATATGAAATAGTGGTATGTGAAATATGATTTTGGTTCAATTTTTCTGGAACAAACTGATACATGAAGTAAGGTAATTTCTTTTAGAAAATTGAAAGCATTATTTTGAAGTAGTCTTTTGAATTGATGATGCAATTCAAATCATTTTAAAAAAATGGAAAGGTGTTTCATGAATAATTGCAACTATTTTTAATTCAACAAAAAATTGTTTATGAAATAATCATTTTTTGTAGTTGTTATCACTTGTGAAATTTAATTCAATAAATTTGTAAAATTATGGAATTTAAATGGGTTTACTATACTATCAAATAGTTGTCTTGTTTGAATGGTCCTGTCATGAGGATCTTAAATATATAACAAAATTCATAAGTTGAATTTTGATTTTAAAGATATGAACCATCAGAATCTATACCAATATAAAAAGACCCAAATGGGCAGATCCAAACCATCTCGACCGTTAAATCATGTTATCTAGCGGTTCAAATCGCTTCAATGTTGAGCACCAAACACGTTTAACACTCTAATTACCCACCACTGCCATTGGTTATAAACACGTTTTGAGTCAACACTATCCCTTGAAATCTGCCATGTAATTAGTATCCTACCATTCCTGTGAAAAAATAATTGATATCTTATCAAATACCAACATGCAACAGATATATCTTACCTAATATAACGTGTAACTAATATCCTACCTAATATAAATATGCATTGCACATACATTATTACTAGTTATCAAAAGTTAGTCAAAATGAAAGGGTTTTTAGGAAGAGGACGAGATAATGCTAGAGTCGTGCTTGTGACATTACTCGGAAGAGAAAGAGAGGGGGAGCCATGCATGTGTCCTTGTATGTATATGGGACCCACCAGGTGAATTGACATATTTCTGTATACAAGATGTGTTGTCAATAATATATCATAATACTACTTCCGGATCTCAGTACACACAGATCCTGGCACGCTTCGACAAATGTATAAATAGGGTGTTGAAAGAATAAAACTAATTAAGAACAAATACAAGAGTGTTCTTGGTTTACATTTCAAAATAATAATAATAATGAACTATGACAAAATGGTGTATAAAAAGGAAAAACAACTTTTGAATTGAACTTAATGCGACACCAACTTTTAGCAAAAATGTGAAGCATCAACTATATATTTTTGCTCCAAACGTCCAACACATATATTGCACACAAAGAATAATGCAAAAAAAAAACTTGTGGCTATCAGGTATATATTACTTAATAAACCCGGAAGGGAAAAAAATGTCCATGACCACACAAAGATTAATGCAAAAATATAGCATGTACTTGATGAGGTGACATTTTTTTGCATGGATTGATTCATGCAAAAGATGTAACTTGTGAGTACACGTATGACTTGTTGATGTCACATTTTTTTGACCAGATGACTTTTAATAATTGAGGTAGCATGGAAGCACTCATGTGGAAAGAAATCTAGTAGTGAGGACTAACTATTTATACTAGTAAAACACATTAGCAGCGACCCTCAGAAGTTGTTGTGACCAAGCAGGAGAAAGCCATCTGTCCAACCGGAGGCAGTTATTATTGCTATATACACAGGTACAGAGGCGGTTAGAAATATGAAACCGTTTGTAGCGAACATTGGAGGTGGTTTGTATTTTGTAACCGACGCACGTGTTCTGAACTTGGAAACCTCCTGCGGCTAGAGTGGAGGCTGCAATTTTTCTTTTTCTTTGTATGGGTTCTCAGGCACCACGTTTTCCATCCATTTCCCTACACGTCTCCAATCCACAATCAAACCCTAGCACCAACACCCTAGTGCTCAGCTCACTAGCGCTGAGCATGCAGACCCGTGTACCTTCTTGGGTAGTGACTATCGTTGATCTAGTCCTCTGTCGACCAGGGATTGTGCATTTGCATATCTTCCCATCCATGGCGGTGCGGTGGTACACCCACCCATCTGCAGCTTCGGTGATGGCACGGTAGCAGATCCACCCATCTACGGCTTGCACACCGGCGCAGTGGGAGATCCGCCCATCCACCACCCCCGACCCCCAACAAGCCTTCCGTGGATTGCCTGCATGGCGAGATCTCACATGTGACCGGCCTTCCCGCTGATGGATTGTGGGTTGTGCCTTTTCTATTTAGGATTTATAGTTTAGACAAACTATTACTGACCAGTGTTGAAACTTTTATCTTTGCCTCTATTGGTTGTAGATTACATACTGATGTGTAAATGAAACCCAACTATGTTTAAATGAAATATGTACCAATGTGTAATGAAACTCAACTAGGTCTAAATGAAATATGTCTCTTGCAGGTGCTTTATTATTCCAGTGACACTGTACAAAATTGTGACTTAGCTGTTTTGGCTCAAGATCTTTTCCAGGGTCCAAAAGGCTTGATTTATTTAGGTGATTATACTTTTTAATTAAGATTTAAACCATCGTACCAAGTTGTAAGTCCAAACATAAACAAGTTTTCCCCGTGTTATCGATAGTGATATTGATAGTGACATGTATTGTGTCTCGTTACGGTTCTCATATTTTGGTCACTGTACACGACATTTTTTCTAAGAAGTGCCTTGTACAATGCAACCGAAATGTCAAGGCGGTGATGATGTTATGTTTTAGTTGTATTGCATAACAATTACAGTATAGAAGAGGAATGGTTGGGAGGAAGCACAAGCTACTCCAGACGATGAATCTTCTCTTCATGAATAATAAGTTCGCCTTCAGGACAATATCGCTACCTTATTGATTCATTAGATCAACTTCATATCTAGCGATAGTTATGATACTGGAGGCAGATATAATTATTCAAACTAAAATTCATTTAATATAATTAAACAAATATTTTTATTGTAAATCATAACTTTCTTGTGAATTTGTTTTTGAAGATATTACATTTTAGGTGCATTTCAAAAGATGACAAAGTCTTAGCTCCTCTACCATGCATCTCCTTTAATGTGCCTATTTTGTGCACATCACAAAAGACTTGTATCGAAATGTACTCGTGAAGGCATGAAGAGGCACGACTAGTAAACTACAAGGGCTTGTTCTGACAACGGCGTAGTATAAGCACACCAGAATAGACTTATGGTTTTAGGTTTAATAAATATGTTCATATGTTTGTTGTGAAGAGTGTAATTGTACATCTTGGATTTGAACTCCCAATTATATGCATGTGTGCTATGAAAAATAGGGTGCTTGTGAAAAAAGCAATTCTCCCATGTAAGAGAGGTCCTGTGAAAGCCTCAGCCGTCCATTTGGTTGAAGATTCATATGCATGCATGCTTATCTCCTATACAAGCATGGTATTGATTACTTTATGATGGGCCTAGAATACAACTTTTGGCAGAGGTGGCATGTTCTACCCATCCAACTTCTCATTCTGTTTATTTTAGATTTCAAATTTGAATCTACTATATGTTTTAAACCGAAAGTTCAAATTAAGTTTCATTTGCATATTTGCAACGATGACCTTCGAACAAGGTCACTCGAACATTTTGATAACTTTTAAATTTTACTAAGTTCAAATCTTAAACTTAATAGTCACAATATCAAGTTTTTACCAAGTTTCATTTGTTTTTACGGTTTAGGGTTTAGAGCTTTAAGTTTTACTATTTAATACATGGTGATTTTATCCCTCATCATGTCAAGTTTTAACAGATGAACCATTGTGAAAATTTTAGAACTTAACAAAACGTATTCAAGAGTGGTCTTATTTGAAAGCCCTCATCACAAGAAAAACAAATATTCAAACAAAATGTAAATTGGACTTTCGATTCAAAAGATACACTGGATTCAAATTGAAAGTTAAAATGAAAAGCATGGGAGAGCGGATGGGTGGAGCATGTCATTTTTGCCAAAAACTGCATGTGAAGACCCACCAAAAGTACTAACCAATGGACTAATCCATGCACGAGACCTCCCATGCACTAGAGAAAATCCATTCTTGCTTGTGCAAATGAATGTTGTATGGCGGGCGGATTGCATTTCAGTTAGGCCCGTGGTCCATCTACTAAACACGGGTTCTGTGGGCCCAAGTGCTCCTTATACTTTCTCCGTTTCTAAATATAAGTCTTTTTTAGAAATTTCAATGTGAACTACATGCAGAGCAAAATGAGTGAATCTACACTCTAAAATACGTTCATATACATCGTATTTACTTTCTCCGTCCCATAATATAAGAGCGTTTTTGACACTACACTAGTATAAAAAACGCTCTTATATTATGGGACGGAGGGAGTAGCTTTTATTGAAATCTCTAGAAGGTCTTATATTTAGAAACGGAGGGAGTACTAAATTAATCATGACACATACACACAAGCTTTATTTCCTTAATTGGACAAGAATATAGCATGATCACGATAATACAAATATAGGACAGGACAACAAAGGAAGGGAAGTACACAACAAATACTACCCCATGGCCGCCCAGCTTCATCGGTGCCCACCCTTTGGCGCCGCAGCCGCCGGTGAAGACGCGCATGGATGCACCCTCCCGGTGGTCCATGAGTTGCAAGCTGCCTTCTTCTCCTCTTCACCCATGAAACTCTCCTTCCTCTCTTCTCGGATCATCGACTTGTCCACCGTCGCCGTTGCCACGGCCTTCTTGCTGTCGCTGATCCTCCTCCTCAGTCTCTCTTGCTTCACGTGTACCTGTGCGTAGCTGAACCCCATGGAAGCCATGTTGAGTAGGACTGTAGGCTGTAATTAAGAGAGAAGTTGGCTAGAGAGACGAAGGCTTGAGTTGATGTGTCTGGTTGGGTGTTGGTGTGTGCATACGGGCGTGTATTTATAGGGGCGCGAACCGTGTGCTGGCTTCTTAATTTCTATGGGCACGTACGTCTCCTTTGCTGGTTTAGGTGGATCATATGCAAACCGGGGGTGTATATATACTACTCCTAAAAGCAGAGAAGGTGATGAGTGGAACTCCAGCACAGCACCATCAGGTTAATAATTTGCTTGCCTGGCAGTGCAATCCACTGCATGCTTCACTTATGCATTGTCTGTCCTTAAAATCTGAGTTGGACATCTCTCCGACTCCCGAGATGATATTGAATCCACAAATTTTAAAAACTTCAGATTTGGTAGGTGCTACTCGCACTCTGAAAGTAGTCTGCAGAAATATCGACCACTAATGTAACGAACCGTTGTATTTAAAACTTCAGCTTTAGCAGGTTCTCGCACTTTGGAAGTTCACCGCCGGTGAGTCTCAACCACAATAGTGCACTACATCAGTGTAGTATTTTATCATCAGTCAACTGGGAAGATATTATATCTAGTCACCTCTGATTAAATTAGTCGCACACAATAAAGACCTCGCTAGGCGTTTGGTCAGCTGTTCTTTTGCAAAGATCAGCTAGGTTGCGAGTCGCTGGATGTGTCTTGTGTAGCCGTCGGATCATTGTAACATGAATCATGTTGCGGTCATTCATTGTAACATGGACCATGCTGCGGTCACCTCAAGCTTGCATGGTGTTGCAAACACGTGGGGTGCAGCATGGACTATGTCGCGGTCTTCCATTGCAATATGGATCATGCTGCGGTCACCTTCAGATTGCATAACATTGCACTCCTGTTTGCAGCAAAGCTGGTTGCGCCACGGCAGATGTGACAGCATGTGGTGGTCTGCGCACTCTGATTCACGCAAAAAGACGACTGATTTGCAGCGCGGACGACCAGGCTGGCAGAAACACGGGGCGAGCATGCCCAGACGGCCGGGTATGCAGCGCATGAGATGACCTTGCAACATGGGAGTGCAACGATAGCTATACAATACCGCCTGGGGCAGTGCGACCCCATTGAGGGGGGGTAGCCGGAACGCCTCCCATACGTCGATGGAGTAGGATGAGACATGAGATAAGGATAAAGCTAGGAGATCTAAGGTGGGGACCCTCGCACCCTCGATCTGGCTGGAGCAAAGGACACA